TCCCACCAGTATGTCCCCCGCTATAAAATTAAAATCTGCATGCAAATATATTAGAAAGGGAGATTTAAACTGTGACCAGCACATAATGAGCACAAATGCATTTGCATTTAAAACACAAGGCCTCAAACTTCTCCAGCATCAGTGAAAAGCTGATACACTGCTGCTCAATTCTTTCATCTAAAAATGTAAGTGAATACAAGTTTAAATATTAGTTTCTATAATACTGCCTTCCCTCAGCTTTCTTTATGTTTATGATAATACAAGAAATTAGGAGCAGTTTCCTTTACCTAACCTTAGTACTTTCAATTTTTAAAAAAATTAAATAAAAAAACCATCATGGACCAACTCAGTTTCTTTCCTCTCCATGACACTCTAGTGCCCAATTTCAGATTAGGCAGATCTGCAGGATTCAATGCTCATCATTTAGGGAGGGAGAAAGGCAGTGAAAGGACGGAACAAAGAAAAGAGAGATCAAACTTTATTCTGTAATATTACAGGATGCACCTGCATGGATGTCACTTGTAAGGCTTAATCCTTGCCACACAACGTTGCAATACATGCTGGATACTTCTACAACATTTCATGCATTGATATCCCTTCCTCCAATTCTGAAGACTTAAGTCTTGATGAGTTAAATCTAATTTTGAGAAGGCTGAGAACAAAGTAATTTCTACACAAAGCAACTGTATGATTTGATGTTCTTTCAGTTTTCAAATCCCTCCAAACTTAGCATTAGTCTTTGTCCTCAACATGCCTTTACATGACAGAAAGCTACTTTAAAATGTTTCAGACCTTGATATGTCCACCAAAGGTATCGTAATTGAAGAATTGACACTCCTTTTCATGATAGCACATGTTTTCTGTCTCCCCCTTGATTAAGATGTTCCTTGTAAGAACTCCAACTTCTGCCCTCATGTCCACTCCATCAATAACTTCTCCTACATGAGGAAACTGAGGATTTTCTGTCCAAAAACAGTTGTGAAAAGAGGAAGAGGGGAAACAAACAAACAAAAAAGAGTTGTCATTGACTAAAACCAAGCCTGACTTCTTTTATATATGCAAGCTAATTGTAACAACAAAACCCATGCATTCTGACACCTTAACATGCTGTTCTCTCCTAGCTTTTCTTATGCTGAGGCACACAAAAAGCACATCGTTGTTACACGATAAACATTAACCCAGCTAACACCATGCAAACTTCTCCCTTCCAGATTGTGGCTGACTCAATGATAGTTAAACATCTTGTAAGATGACGAATCAAGTATGCTACTCTATGTTTCCTTCCAAAACAAAGTGCTGTCTATGTATTTTAGTAAGACAACTAATCCTAAACAAACCTCAACATTTTATTTGCAAGGGCATCTTAATTTCAGTCCAATAGTTTGTGAACAGAACAGATAAAAACCAAAGAAAAGTTCAAATTAATCCAATGTATCTAGAAAACTTTTAATGAAATTTAGATGCAGATTTGCTCTAAAAGAAAAAAGCTGGCGGCGTAATCTGTTCTGAATAAAAAGACCTTTAGAAAATACTGTATTCATTCCTCTCTGAAAGAAAAAGGGATTTTCTTTCATAACTAAATTTGCCCTTTCCCAGATAGCTATTCTGAAGGATGCACAAACTAAAATTAGGGAAAACAAGATACCCTGGTTTTACACTCTTTTTCCAAAGAAACAATCAATTTCTTATTTGTCTGTACAAAGTGATAAAACTATCTGGTCCTCTAAACCTTAAAAAATTTATTTATGTGTTTCTTTAAAAAAAATTCCCCTTGATTTTTTTGAGTTTTGGGGTTTTTTTCCCCCCATTTTTTGATTCCTTGAATACAGACTGTCACTATTCCCTCAAAGCTTACAAAAGGATACAAGCCTAACCTGTTCATTACCACAATAAGAAGCAGAATGAAAAGTAGTATTAAATCTGTACCTGCTGTTGAGTATTTAAAAAGACAATAGATGTCTGCAAAAGGGACTGCACTCCTATCCTCGAAGGCTTACGTATTGTTTTTCCCTATATTTGACTAACATACATAAATCAAGCAAAGAAAGAGCAACTAGGCTTCCTACAACACAATACTTTTTAGTTTTCCTACTAGAAAGGGGCCAAAGTAGCTAAAAACTTAGCAAAAAATACAAGAAATAATTTCAAAAGATGGTGAGTTCTCCAGCATGTCAAGTTTGCCATTCCACAGAAAATTCATTCTTTGTGCAACAAATATATAGGGTGGTTTGGGGATTTTTTAAACAGTAGTTTTTACTATGACAAAGGAAACTTGATATTAAGGGTGAAAAAAAACCCAAAACCAACCAAAACCAAGATGAGCCAGTTCATCTCCCTTAACACCTTTTAAAGAGCTATATATAGTTCAGATAGCATGTATTTTCAAAATGAAAAGGCAAGATTTTGTATTTTATGCCATATTGTAAATCTTGTAAAAAAAAATTGTATTTTTTAAATCCTTTAAAATAAGCTGCTTTTTCATAGTACATGATTTCCAAGATGAAACAGAGTTTGCACATATGCTATTCAGTGGTGACAAAAACCTTCTTAAACGTCATACTGCAACCTTCAAGTTAAGCTTGCTCTTTAAAATACTGTGCTCAATAACACACACAACCTGAGACACTTAAGAACAAAGCCCAGGAAATGTCATGCTCAATGGCACTAAGTCAGCTTTGCAGCTTCACACAGTCTAGTATTCTCTGATGTATAATAAAGTGAACTTAGATACGACTTTTCCGTATCAGGGACTTCACAATGCAGTAAAACATCTCTGACCCATGCTAACAAATGCCGTGGGATGCAAACTGCACTGCAAAGTGGACATACAAACTGGTAGTCCCTTAAGACGTGAGGGAACAGGAAAGTTTGAGGGCGTTCACAGAAAACTTCCGAAAACAAAAAGAGGACAGTGGTTTCAAGAAGAGGAAGTCGCACGTACAGAGGTGAATGGGACAAAACCAGATCATGAAGAGCGCTGATCTGCTGCTGCAAACTAACACTGTGAAACAACACTAGTTAGATCGTGCTACAAACTGACGCTACAGCCCACCATAGGGGAGCGAGAGGGGAAGCTCAAGACCTGAGGCTGGTGGCCCACCAGGGATAAGGGTGCTGGCACGGCGTGGCAGAAGGAAAAGACAGACGCTGGCAGAGCAGGGGAGCCAGTCCCAAGGGAGGCTCTTGTGAAGCCAAGCAGAATGACTCAGATAGAAAAGGAAACAGTCAACAACATGCATGACCATTTTGTGTCCATCACGCCCAAAGGAAAAACAGATTGCTGCTGCTCAGGGATATCCTGTGTGAGCAGAGGCTTGGAAGTGCCACTTATTTCATAACCATTTTGCTGGTGGAGTGTGGAGGGGAACTGAGGGGGGCGGGGGGGG